AGAGAGAGAGAGAGAGAGAGAGAGAGAGAGAGAGAGAGAGAGAGAGAGAGAGAGAGAGAGAGATCAACTTTGTGTGGAATGAAGTCTCTCCTTCCAACTATCTGTATAATTTTGATTTATACTTTGGCCGATCTTCTTGCGGCCCTTTCGGACTTTCTTTGTAAATCGTTTCGGATTTTCTTTGTTGCCTTTGCTTCGTGTGTATGCATGACATGGATGTGAATCCTTTTTCCTTTATCTTATTCTGTGATGTATGCTTAATTATTTCGTCACTTTCTAGTATCCATCTGTGTCAAGCAACAATTCTGGGTCTGATCGAAAACCCTTGCTATGGATGTTTTGGGTTTAATTGTTAGCCTTTGATTGTTATCAGATCACGGAGAGTGCCATGATGTGCTGTCCCTCTATGTCAGGACAATTGCCCCCCCCCCCCCCCTTTCTCTTTTCCTTTGTTACCTGAATGACATGGGTGTGAATGAAATGACTAGATCTCACCCGAAATAACATGGGTGGGATAGTTGCATGCATGTAGGACACAATTGATACACCGACACGAGAAATTTGAGCCCGACCCACTTTCGCTCCTGTGCATACTCGCGTACGACCACAATCTCGAGAAAACCGAATCGCAGCGTACGCGTGCGTCTGCATGAGTCGACCTCGACCCTGACTCACTATAAGGGATGTGGGAAACCGAGTTCACTAGTCGGATATGCCTGTAGAAATTCCCTTTTGGATCACCGATCGTGAGAGCCTGAGGGACCTGAAATATCACAAATACTGGGAGGGTGAAAATCTCAGACGGGGGGGAAACTTAAGAAACCCGGAATTCCATTGTCTGACGGAGAACGACCGATTGTGCGCGAGAGACTTTCAATGGGCCATAAGTAACGACCCTAGGGGACCAGACTATCCGGAGAGTAACAACACTCAATATTACATATCTCCGGGCTTCGTCGTTATTAGTACCAATTTCCCTCCCTTCCACCTCCTCCTTCCATATAACCAGCTCACAGTGGTATCGTGGAATTCCATAGCCCGCTATCGGCCCCGCATATCGTGCGAAAAGTGCCAACGGCACCACGCGTATCGAGCTTTGGAAATTACCTGGCAAACCCGAGCCGCAGCCCAGCGGCGCTGACAACTGTTCGAACCGCGTGACAACCACCACGACCCACTAGTTCACCAGATGAGGAATCGACCACAGCGACGCAACTGGCAGAGACGATAATCCCAGACACGATCTTCATGTACCATCTTGCACCGTTGTCCCTAAACTTGCCACCGGAGATCTCAGTTCCGACCCGAGACTCCACACCCACTTTCCTAAAATCCTTGGCACACCCCCTTTTCGTATTTTTGGGCCCCCATCCCACTCCGATCAGGAAGTCGTGTTGGGCGTGAGGTTTGGGCGTCATAGCACCACCAGCCATTTTGGTCCGGTGGAGAACAACCTCCGAAGAATGAGCTTTAGGTTATACAACATTCTCATGAGGTTTCTAGTTTGCCTGTGAAAGGTAGTGGTGGCTTAGGGAGAAGTCCGTCCACTCACCGCCTGCCACCTTCTAGTAGAACGTTAACGAAACTGAGATTCCAGTTCCAACCTGGAACTCCACCCCACCCCCCTCTTCCCGAAAATCCTTGGCACACCCCCAATTATGTGGTATCTTGGACCCTTCTACACATATTCCGCTCTGTCAGAAAATCACCATCCGGTGTGAGGTTTGTTGCGCACCACATCACAAGCCTTAGTGTACTTATTTAGTATTTACATTATTTAGTTTTCCAAGCTCTATCCAACAAAGAGGGTCCCTTCCATCGCAAAAAAAGTCACATAATATTATATATATATCATATCTATATATGTATGTAGCAGACCCACCAGGTGTGGTGCTCCGCTAGTGGTAGAGATGGAGATGGAGGAAGAAGGGGGGAGCGAGATGGCACAACGCAGCTCCCCACGCAAGACTCCAACGCATGTACTCCAAAATGTGTCACTGAAGAATGATCCGAAAGCAGCCAAAGGCTGGGGTATACCCCAGCGGACTGGCGGGACTGGACTGGACTGGCTAGTACCGATAGAGGTACCGGCCTGGACTGGACTGCCCCGAATAAAACACAGGCCTGTGAGAACAGGCCAAGGGGCTGGTCTCACAGGCCCACCAACCAGAGATCCGCTACACAATCCTCGGCCTGTGATGGATCACCTAGATGCAAACACGCTTCCATCAAGAAGCAGAACTCTACCAAAGAAAAAGAAAACCTGAGTAGTCTAGGATGAAAAGCGACCTCCATGCTGAGTCCATGCGATGCAACCTAGGCTAGAAAATGTCACAAAACAGCAATGTCACAGCTATCAGCCTAAGTAAAAGCAGAAGTAACTAACTAGCATACATGTCCTAGGAAAGCAGAAAGTATGATAACTAGATCCTATAATGTTGGAGGCAGTAGCCTCAGTCTGGTAACAACTGACTAGTGTATAAGTCCTAAGAACAGCAAAAGCAGAACAACTAAATCCTAGAAATGTCAGAGGCAGTAGCCTCAGTCTGAGAGCAAGAAAGCAATCAACAAGACAACCATATGTCACAAGAGAAGTGTGTCATAAACCAAAGGGTGGGATGGTCTCTGAGGGTGGCGAATGCAGCCTAGGGGTCGAAAACTCCTAAGGGCATCCACACATAGTAACAGGGGGAACACATGTCGTTAGGCTCAATGAGGGTAGGGAACAGGGAGCGGACCAAACCAATGACCCTAACAGATAGACCATCAGGGCGGGTAAAGCTCAACTAAGGGATGACCACTATGGAGGGTCGACCATGCAAGAGAACAGGGGAGCCTGGTATACTGGGCGCATCTAGATGAAGCATGCGGGGCTGCCTAACTAAGGCGTAAGGGCCGGCAGAGGGTAGAAAGATGATGGGTAAGGGAATGATGCAGGTGACTCCTAAGGTGGGGAAGTCGAAGCTAGATCCGTAAGATGGGAAACTAGGGCAATGCTACGGTCCCGATGCCTATGCGTATACCAAGGGAGAGCCCAACTCAGAGGAACCCGGCTAAAGGGAGACCATCATGCGACACAAGCAGGGTACTGTACAGGGTGAAGTGGTAAGAGAGTG